CTTTTACTGTGATTATTATGCTAGCCATGAGCTGGAGACGGGCCGATTATCATTTCTCCGTCTTTGATGGGCTGAGGGGGTGGGCTACCCTGGAAAGCCCACGTTCCAGCCTGCAGGGTGGTCAGGTCTGGTGTGCCGGTTAGGAAAAACGCCTGAACACTCTCCCTAGTGTAAACCTGCTACAAGAAACGTACCTATCTGTGTCTAACCCACACTAAAATAACCTGCCTCATTCTGACCTTGGTCTTCTCGACTCCAGGACTGCAGGGCAGGGAAGGTCTGTGGTTTATGCCGCCTGGGCCTTTCTTCCCGGCGGTCCCGGGAGGTGGATGGCTGGCCGGGAACCCCTGGCTGCCGGGTCAGGGCTCATTCCTGAAACGAGTTAGACCGGGCCAGGGCCAGTCAGGGAGGAGGCACGCTGGTGAAAGTGCCGGCTCTGCCACCAGCCTCTGAGATTGCCCACGTTCATTCATTCATTCCTTCATTCAATCACGAGCATGCTTTATGTGTGGCCAAACCCTCCAGAGGCAGCTGTGTGGCTCCTTTCCTGGGAGATCCACTGGATACCCAAACACAGAGCCTGGCTCTCCTGGGGATGGAACCTTCTGAAATGTTCATCGTTTTTTCTGCTTGAAGTGGACACATAGCTCGGTACTCCCAGTGTTATGACCGGATTGTGAGAAAACAGTCTCTAACAGGCAGAAGGTCGAATTATGAGTCTTTTATTACCCAGCGGTCGAGAGTGACTGGTGTCAGAAAGATCTCTCGATCCCGAGCAAAACACGTACAGAGTTTACAAAGGCAAAAACCCACAAGAGGGTCACAAGAGGGTGGGGAGGCACAGGAATTTGTTTATAGATTAGAACAGAACAGTTTATCTTGAGCATTTTTTTTATTTTTTTTTTTGAGTTGGAGTCTCACTCTGTCACCCAGACCGGAGTGCAGTGGCCGCTCCCGGCCACCGCAGCCTCGACCCGCTGGGCTCCGGCGATCCTTCTGCGCCAGCCTTCCGAGTAGCCGCAATTACAGGCACACACTACCACGCCCGGCTGATTTTTTGGTTTATTGTAGAGATGAGGTCTCTCTGCCCAGGCGGGTCTCAAACCGCGGGCTCAGGCCATCCACTCACCTCAGCCTCCCAAAGCGCGGGATTACAGGCTGAGCCACCGAGCCCGGCTATCTTGAGCATTTTTAGACCTGCAGTTTATCTTGAGTTTCCCATCAGGCGGGACATGGTTTACTGTTTTAATGGAAGGTTGGGGTAGTTATGATTATATTTTTGACAGAACATCTGGTTTCAGTCAAGCAAAGGGGCAGAAGATAAAAAAACTTGTGGGGAGGTGAGTTCACGACAGGGTGACAGCAGTCACACGCAAAGGGGGGTAAATTTTGTGCACAACTTCTAAAGGGTGAATTATAACATGGGGTTTCTAAGGCTAAATTATAACAAGCTAGTACGAACAAAGCTGCTGATAAGCAAAGTTGCAGTTGTCGAACACTTCGCCAGCCGCCCAAGGCCAGCGTGAACCGGCTCCGCCAGGCCCAGCATGCAACAGGGCCTGCACCCACGGCCACAGGGCACCACGCACTCCTGAATCCCGGGCGCTGGGCTTGGGCCTCCATTCCTCTGACCTCGCGTGGGCTCGGCTCCCTCCTGCCCCACCTCAGGGCCCTCTCACCCCCCACCGGGCCGCTTCCTGGCGGGAGGACAGAAGTGGCCTGCTCCAGGTCCTTCCAGCTCCCTCCTGACCAGAGCCCCATGCTGACCAGGACAGGACATCTCAGGGGATGACGAGGGCTACGTCCTGGGTGCCAGCTCGGGGAAGGCATACCCCCCAGAACACCCCGTGAGCTGTTCACTTGCGACCTTGCCCTGTCCAGGCTGGGCATAGAGGCCAAGCCTGCCATCCACATGAGGCCCGGGTGGGCGGTGTCCGGTCCACTGGGCATCCCTCCCCTGGAGACCAGGGTGGTGGCCTCAGGTCCCCGGCCCTCAGGCCACTGTCGGCTAATCCTGGAGACTGGCGGAGCTGTTTGGGGGACAGCCACTCTCAGAGGCAAGGACGGGCGTCTCCAGAGACCCCATGGGGGCTGCTGGCTGCGTCCACAGGTGGCCTGCGGGCGTCCAGGGTGCAGGATAACTCTGGACCCCAGTGCCCCTCTGGCCTCAACCCCGGGAGACCACGATGAGCACCTCCACCCTCCGTCCCTTCCCAGCCTGACCTGTGTGTGCCGGGTCCAGGACAGATGACTAAGTGATTGTGGGAGGGGGACGCCCATCCACAAGTGACTCAGCGACTTAGAAACCATGCCTTGTGACTCTCAGAGGGTCTCACTTTGTCCTCTCAATGCCAGACCCCACTGGGGACAGGTAGCTGGCCCGGCATCACTCAGGGCGAGTACCCCATGGAACGGCTCCAGGGAGGCCACTGCGGACACCCTCCCTGGGGCCCGAGGAGCCTCGGCAGGGTCTGCGGGGCCCAGGTGGACCCACAACCTGTTCCTTCACACCACCCGGCACTGGGAACGTGTGAGACCCAGGCCGCCCCGGCAAATGACCACAACCAGGTGGCAGTCCTGGAAGCCAGTCGGCAGCGGTCAGTTTCGCTGGGCTGAAGTCCAGGCGCGGGTGGGGCCGTGCTCCCTCCAGAGGCTCCCGGAGGCCCCTCCCCGCCTCGTGCGGCTCTTGGGGGCTCCAGACGCTCCTTGGCTGTGGCCGCGTCACCCCCGTCTCTCCTCCGTCTCCATGTGGCCTCCGTCCTCTGCATCTTCCCCTCTTCTGCGTCCCCTGAGGACACCTGTCATCGCCTTGACAGCCACCATAAATTCAGGGTCATCCCATGTTGAGATCCTTAATTATAGCTGCAGAGATTTTTTCCAAATAGGGTTGTATTCACAGGTTCCGGAATCAGGACGGGTTCGTTCAGGGAGTGCCATACAGGTCTTGGGGGCTTCTCTCCTCATGGGAAGTCCAGGGGCAGCTCCCTCCTTGGGTCCTCAGGCCTGCATTCCTGGGGAAGGCCCCTGCGTGGGCTCCAGGGAAGGTTCCCGGGTCCTGGCGGAGGCAGTCCCGCCCACTGTGGAGGCGGGGAGGCTTGGACTGGGCAGAAGCCTTGGGGAACCCAGGAAACCTCACTGCTTTCCTCTCCTGGACTACTGCAACCACCCTGGCTCCCTCCCCTCCTTGTCCATGCAGGGTCATCCTGGAAACGCCTCCCCACCCACCTCCCGCGCACAGGGCAAGCCCAGGATCCCCTGCCCATCCGCGGCCCTGGCACTGGCTCTGCCATGTACCTGCCACCCCCGTGCTGGCGACGCTGGTACTGCCCAGGCTGTTCCCTCCCATAAGACATGTCCCACCTGCCCTCCTCCCTGCCAGGCTGCCCCTCTGGCCCCCGTCTGTGTCTTCAATGCCTTCCCTGGCACCGGGCATTGAGCACCTCCCCTCCGTATGACTCCGGGCCGGCTGACACTCACTCAAGAGCGTGTTCCACATGGCACGTCCAGCCCAGCTGTGCCAGCCATCCTTGGGGCTGGAGAGAGGGGAGATGTGTCCACACAGGGCCATTGCTGGGCTTCCCCAATGGGGGGGGGATGTGGACAGACCAGCCCTGGCTTACAGCCCCTGTTTCCCGCTCATGCTTGGGGCGGGTGTCCTCTCCAGGCTGAGGGGAGGATTGAGACCTGGCCTCTCTGAAGAACCAGGATGTGTTGGTGACTGGTCCCTCTGACTCCTTACCAGGGCTGTGAGGGTCCCAAGGGCACAAGGACTTGGAGTCTCGGAGCTGGGTCGTCACCCAGTGTGTCTATCAGGAGTTTCTATTTTAAAGATAACAAAAGTAAACAAAAATTTTTTTTAAGAATTGGAAGTTCTTTCATCTTTAAGTCTGGAAGTCAGCCATTGTAGGCAACAGTTCAGCGGTCAAGAGGATTCTATGGCTAAAATGATTCTTGGCCATAATCTCCGTGTCGCAAGATGACTGCTGGCGGTCCAGCCTTCCCGTCTGCATCCCAGGCAAGAAAGCCAGAGGAAGTGACAGGTTGGCACCTAGATTGGAAAAGCCAGTCTTTACTAGAAATTCCCAGAAGATTTACATCTGCTTCTAACTGGCTAGAGTGGTGTCATGTACATTCTGGGAGCCCGGTGAGCCTGACAGCGTCAAGACTGTAGCAGGACAGAAGGGGAGGGTAGATACAGGCAGGCGCCTGGCAGTGCCTGCCCCCCTAGGCCTCTGGGGTCCGGGCATTTGCAAACTGTGTCCCTAGAATCTCAGGGCTTGGGAGCCCCCGAGAGAGGGAGAGAGGAGTGGGCCTCCCCAGCCTCATCCGAGGAGCGCCCCCTCGCTGAGACACAGCACAGAGCCCAGCACCCCAAGGGGCTCAGCAAACACTGGGTCCGTGTCCTTGGGTGGAAGGTTCTCTGCCCTGGTCCGACCCCAAGTCTCCCTGGGACAAGGGGTGGGAGCCAGGCCTGGGTGCTGATCCCCGAGCCCCTGGAGGCCACCGGCAGGCCTGGGTGCTGACCCCCGAGCCCCTGAAGGCCCCCAGCGGAGGGCCCCATGTCCACTGTGTCCATCTGTGCCCACATGGCCTGGGGCGCGGCCGCCATCCTGCCGGCCCTGCCCCATTTCAGCGGCCGTCGCCAGGCTCCGTGGGGACAGCTTGGCCTGGGTGGGGCCACCCAGGGCGCACCGCGCGCTTCCCGCCCCCGGCGCCAGCCCACATGCTGACACAGCTCCGGTGCTGTTTTAGACCAAGTCTCATGCTTGGCTCGGTCCAACAGCCTTGAACTTGAGCAGACGAGAGGCATGATGGCCGCCGCACCCCACCGTTCCCAGCTGGCCCCGTCCCCGGTTCCTGAGCCTCCCGCTTCTCACCACATGAGGGCCTGGCACAGCGGCAGCATGGGCGGGAGGCTCCTGGTGGTGCCCCCCAGCCTGCGGGGTGGGCTTCCGCCCAGGGTGAGGAGCTTGGGGTGCAGCCTCTGCCAGGGTGGCGGCATGGTGCTGCCGATGGCACGGGCCTGCGTGCCAGACGGTGTGTCGTGGGCCTGGGCAGGAGTGTGGGCGCTGCAGGCCCAGCCCACACCCAAGCCCTCAGTCGTGCGGCCCCAGGTGAGCCTCAGGTCCATGCTGGCACCTGCTCCTCTCTGCGGGTCCCTGGCCAGTCACCGTGTCCTCCCCTAATAGGCCAGGGCCTGAGGCCCCTGCTCACCCCCTCAGGCTCCCAAGCTGCGGGAGCGTCTGAGCCCTGCTCCCCAGCGGCTGAGGATCACGGCGGCCCACCTGAGCCTCTCATTCCCCCGCAGAGCACAGGGACCTCCCGCAGCCCTGGTCGGCGAAGGGTCCCACCACAGAGCGGGCCTGAGCTCCCCCAAGGGCCGTGCGTCTGCTGAACGGGGCATCCTTCACAGGCAGGGCCACAAGTGACATGTTCCCCAGCGTCAAGCACAATGCGGGACCTTGGAGTCGAGCTAATAAACATCAGAGGGACCAGTGGACAGAAGGATGGACGGACGGTGGATGGTTGGAAGGATGGGGAGATGGACAGGTGGATGGATGGAGAGGGGGAGGATGGGTGGGTGGACGGACAGATGGATGAGAGCCGGGAGGCTGGATGGGTGGGTAGGTGGATGGACAGCTGGACGGACAGACGGGAGGATGGACAGATGAAAGATAGAGGATAAATGTATAGATAATGGACGGACGGATGGCGGCAGGACATGGGGCATGGGGCCACCTCTGGGGTGCAGTTCTCAGCGGTCCTGATGGAGGGATAAGGGCGCTGAATCTGTACCTAGGAGGGTTAGTATTGGAGCTCTTGAAATGGACTGCCTTTCTCAAAAAATGGTGGTGAAATAGACATAACATAAAATATCCCATTTCAAAACGTACAAGCCGGGCTCGGTGGCTCAGCCTGTCATCCCACGCCTTGGGAGGCCGAGGTGAGAGGATTACCTGAGCTCACAGGTTTGGACCAGCCTGGGCAACTTGACAAGACCTCATCTCTACAACAAATCAGAAAATCAGCCGGGCGTGGTAGCACGCGCCTATAGTTCCAGCTACTCGGGAGGCTGAGGCAGAAGGATCGCCGGAGTCCAGCGGGTCGCGGCTGCGGTGGCCGGGAGCGTGCTGCTGCACTCAGCCTGGGCGACAGAGTGAGGCTCTGAGTGAAAAAAAAAAAAACGTACGGCGATCTGTGGCATCTTCACAGTGCCTGCCGCTGCCACCCTCTTCCAGTTCCTGAACTTTCCACCGCCCCAAAGACATCCTCATCCCCATCAGCACCCACTCCCCTGGCCGCTGCCCCAGCAGCCCCCCGTCTGTGCCATCTCTGTGGATTGGCCCATTCTGGGCATTTCGTCGACGTGGAAATGGGCACCCTGTGGTCTTCGTGACCGGCTTCCCTCACTCCGTCGTGTCCGCAGGGTCCGTCCGCGTGGCAGCGCGGGTCAGCCCTTCGCTCCTCTTCTGGGTGGCTAACGTCCCACTGGACGACCAGCCCTCCCTTGTTTATCCACTTGTCCGTCGGTGGCCACCAGGCGGCCGCCATCTTTAGCTGTTGTGAATTTTGCCGCCGTGGACGTTGGTGTGCCAGTGTCGCTCCGAGACTCTGCTCTGAGTTCTTTCAGGGCTCTAACTAGTGGTGGGGTAGCCGGGTCCTGTGCCAACTCTGGGTTTAACTTTTTGTGTCCAGTTGCTTCAGGGGGTGCAAACGCTTTTGGTTACAAGGATACCTTGTATTGTGGCAAAGAAGTCTGGCCTTTAAGGCCAGGCATGGTGGCTCACGCCTCTAACCCCAGCACTTTGGGAGGTTGAGGTAAGAGGATGGCCTGAGCTCACAGGTCCAAGACCAGCCTGGGCAACTTGGTGAGGCCTCGTCTCTACAATAAATTTAAAAAAAAAAATTAGCCTGGCGTGGTGGCATGTGCCTGTGGTTCCAGCTACTTGGAAAGGGGAGGCGGAAGGATCCCCTGAGCCCGGCAGGTGGAGGCTGCGGTGGCTGTGAGCATGCCACTGCCCTTCAGCCTGGACAACAGAGTAAGACTCTGACTCAAAAAAATAAATGAAGAAGTCTGGGCTTTATGTCCGCCCACCCCCCTCACCTGTGCACCCTGTTTCCAACAGGTGATTTTTCCCCTCTTCCCTTTGCTACTCTCTCCCTTCCGAGTCTCCAATGTCCATGACCCCATTTTCTTGCCTTTGCAGACCCTGAGCCTCCACTCACAAGTGAGAACGTGCAGTATTTGGTTTTCCGTTCCTGCATTAGTTCACTTGGGATGATGGTCTCCCATCTCCTCCAAGTTGCTCTGAAGACTTGATTGCATTCTTTTTGATGGCCGGATAGTACTCCATTGTGTGTGCGTGTGCATATGTGCGTCTGTGCATACCACATTTCATCATCCCCTGGCCAGTTAACGGGCACTTCAGTTGATTCCACACCTTTGCCATTGTGAAGCGTGCCGCAGAAACCATTCAAGGGCAGGCGTCCGTTCCTTTGGGTCGATATCACGTAGGTTGAACGGTCGATCTACTTTTAGCTCTTTGCGACATCTCCGTACCTATTTCCATAGAGGTTGAACTAATTTACACTCCCCTCAACATTGTGTAAGTGTGCCCTCCCCACCACATCCATGCCAACGTCTGTTGTCTTTTGATGTTGTAACGGCTGTTCTGACTGGTGTCAGGTGGTATCTCAGTGTAGTCTTAATTTGCATCTCCCTGATGATGAGTGAATTTGAACGTTTCTTCCTCTATGTTTGTTGGTCACTTGTGTATCTTCTTTGGAGAGATGCCTGTTCATGTCATTTGCCCACTTCTTAATGGGGCTATTTGCTTTTTTCTTGCCGATGCATTTGAGTTCTTCGTAGATTCTGGGTATCAGTCCTTTGTCAGATGCATAGTTTGTGAATATCGTCTCCCATTCTGTAGGCTGCCTATTTACCCTGTTACTGCTTTTGCTGTGCAGGCACATTTTAGTTTAATTAACTCCTGCTTGTTTATTTTTGTTTCTGTTGCATTTACTTTTGGGGTCCTAGCCATAAATTATTAGCCTGGGCCGATGTCCAGAAGAGTTTTTTTCTTGATTTTCTTCTAGAATTTTTATGGTTTCAGGCCTCACATTTAAGTATTTAATCCATCTAGAGTTAGTTTTTGTATATGGGGAGAGACAGTTTCATTCTTCTGCTTGGAGTTATCCAATTTTCTAGCACCATTCATTGAACAGGGTGTCCTCTCCCCGGTGTTTCTGTCTGCTTTATTGAAGATCCGTTGTTTGTAGGTATTTGTGTTTATTTCTGGATTCTCTATTCCATTCCACTGGTCCATGTGTCTGCTCTTGTTACCAGTACCATGCTGTTTTGGTTACTACACCCTTGTAGTATAATTTGAAGCCAGGCAGTGTGACGCCTCCAGTTTTGTTCTTTTTGGCTAGGATTTCTTTGGCTAGTCTGGCTTTTTTGTGGTTCCATGTGAATTTTAAGATTGTTTCTTCTGACTGTGAAAAACGACATTGGTATTTGATATAGGGATTGCGTTGAATCTGCAGATTACTTTGGGTAAAACGGTCATTTTAACATTGACTCTTCCAGTTCACGAGCATGGGATGTTTCTCCATTGGTTTGTGTCTTCTGCGATTTCTTTCATCAGTTTTGTAATCCTCTCACAGAGGTCTTTCACCTCCTTGGTTAAATGTATCCCTAGGTATTTCAGCTTTTTGGCTGCTATGGTGAATGGGACTGAGTTCCTGATTTGATTCTCAGCTCTGTCACTACTGATTTTGTGTTGATTCTGTATCCTGAGGCTTGCTGAATTCATTTACCAAGTCCAGGAGTCTTTGGAGGAGTCTTCCGGGTTCTCTGGGTATAAGATCACATCATCATCACAGGAATAGCTACATTTCTTCTTTTCCAATTTGGATGGCCTTTATTTCTTTCTCTTGCCTGATTGTTCTGGCCTGGACTGAACAGGAGTGGTGTGTGTTTAACTTGTGGAGAAAGCTTCAAACTGTTTTCCACAGCAGCTGCACCATTCTGCCTCCCACTGAAAGCTCGTTGGTTTTGGGGGCGTTTTTTTGCATGGTCAGTGGATGATGTGGGCGCTGGCTTTGCCATGCTTGGCCTGCCTCCCTTGGAGGGGGGCTCTGGGCCTCCTCCTGGATTGAGACTCCATCTTAGAATCTGGCGAGGACCAGGGGCCCTGCCTCTAGAAAACCACACAGGCCCACTGTTCTGCCCACAGATTCAAGTCATTTGCTGACAGGCCCCTCTGCACGCCCACGAGTAGCTTTGTGCAAATGTGGGAAGGCCCCCTCTGGGTGGGCATGCGTGCCCATGCGGGCTGGGCACAGCGTGGAGGGCAGAGCACAGGCTGCCCAGCAGATGCCCTTGTGCAGTGGACAACCCACACTGCCGTACAGGGGGCCCTGCCCACTGACACTCGGAGGCACACGTTCATTCTGCGTCGCGTGGGAGTCCCTGCCGTGTGGAACTGACACCTTCCTGAGAGCAGCCGCTGGGATAGGAATTTCATGGCTGCGAACCCAGCTTCTCATCGGTTGGCAAGAGCATCTAGGAGCGGCATCCTTGGGTCTTTCTGCCCAGGTGCAGCCGCCCAGAGGGAGGAGGCCCAGGTTGGAGGAAGATGCTCAGAGCTCCGTGCCCAGCCTGTCCTGGAGAGGGGCTGTGGAGCCCAGGCAGGTGCGGGGGTGTCTGGTTCCCACTGGCAGCCTGGGGAGGCTTTGGCAGAGATGGGTCCAGCGCCCCGAGCCGTGAGGCAGGAAAGAGCTGCACAGCGGACCACTGGGCTGCAGGGAGCCCCTCCGATCCACGTGGAGCCAGCTATCAACCAAGTGTGGACATGCCACTGCCAGCCCCTGGGGAACCTGCCGAGGAGCCTGATCTGCCCAGCCCAGGCTCAACTGGCCACTCCAGCCCGAGTCTTCCACTGGGACACAGGCACATGACTGCCCCCATGCCAGCTGACCCTGGGCGCCTTGGATCCCGCGTGCTGAGCAGGGAAGACCCTGCCCTGCCCCTCCCAGGGGGCCACAAGGGCCACGAACTGAGGAGTCTGTGAGACCCAGAGCCCCGCTCCCGCCCCCGGTGCCCGCTGGTGCCTGAGTCACACAGAGATCAGGCGCCCAGAAGGGGCCTTAGGCCAGCGAACCCGGGCGGCCTCAGGAGGCTCAGGTTGTGCTGAGCGGGGAACCCCACCCATCCTGTCAGCCCAGGAGCTGCCCCACCCTGAGGGTCTCTTCTTCCTGCCCAAAGCCACCAGGCCCACTTTCGTCTCACCTGTTGGTGGCTTGACCCTCAGACTTGGGGACGCCAGGG